GAAAAGAAATTACTCAAAAGAGCTAAAACTACTTAGTGGTTTAGATCAAAAATGTAAAATAGAATCTAACAGCAACACTATTTCTGACAAAGGCACTTTTTGACCCTTACCTTTTTTCTCTTTTTTATTTATCAGTGACTTGGCATTATCAACTCTTGTAATGTGTTTCAACTAATAACTACACTGTGAAAAAGATACAAGTATGAGCAATGTAACAACAAAATGTGCCCAAATAAAAATTTTCTTAAAATGGAGTGAGACTGGCAAAATAAAAGTAACCCAATACCTGCAGCAAAAAAAAATAAATAAAATGTTATGTACTTAAATGAACTTTGATCTCTGGTAAATTGAAAAATTAATGCCCCCTTTTGCCTAGGAGTCTCCTCTTATGCACTTGTTACATGTTAAATTTGCTAGAATACAGTCTAACTTGCCCATGCGACCACGTGTATTAAGCGACTTTTGTCTTAAACGACCACTTTAAATTCCCCCCGATCATTTTCTCTCTATATCTTTAATGTATTAAGCGACTTTTGCTCAACGCGACCAGCGACCGCTAATTAGTAACCTAATTGACATCAATCTTTTCATTAAACGACCACTTGTACCTGTCAAGTAATTGTGTTTTTAGAGAACGCCACCTCGTTATGTCACAAGTGTCAGCAATCAAAACACAACAATAAACGTGTGAAAAACTCTATTTCCCATACCCTTTTAGCGTATGCAAATGAAGTTAAGTATACGCGTGACGTGTATAATCCAATAATATCGGATAAACAATGCAACGCTCCGCCCATACTGAGATGGTGTATACGCTTCGCTTGTTGACATTTAGACTGCATTGAATTGACCTTGAACTTGATCAGCCATTAAATTAATCGTAACAAATGGATGTAGTTTGTTTATTTCAAATGAAAAAATGCACAACAGAAAACATCTTCACTAATAGGGTTTTCGTGTTGGAGACAAGGAAAAACAACGGAGAAGTTAAAAAATTCTGAAAAAAATGTCAAACATGTACGTAATGGATAAAAACTGTTTTGTCAATAAATATCAGAACGTTATTTTTACATTTGCATCCGTTTAGATTATCGGGGCGTACTTATTATTCAACATTTATATAAAAATGAAGTTGAAAACCAATTCCATCGGATAAAAAAGATGTCATTTATAAATTTTGACTTTTATGTCATGCTGACTGTCTTAAGAGACCGTTTCATTAAGCGACCGTTTTTGGTGTTTCCCTTGCCCGGTCGCTTAATACACGTTTGACTGTATATATATCGGATCATTATTGGCTCATTGAAATTGAGTAAGCAGTCCAATATGTATATTCGACTTTTAAAAAGGCATTATTCAAACTAACATAATCAATATTGGATCAACATTGGCTTACTAACATCTGGGTATAATCCAATATGTAATCAATTTTGACAACAGTATATAGTGGTACAAATTCAGTATTTGGATAAATAAACAATGGATGACCCAAATACCTTACATGAAATCATATTGGACTGTAACAAAACAAGATTGAATCCAATAAAAGTCCAATACATGAAAATGCACTTAATTAATTGTTAAGAAAGAATAAGATTTTGACATATACATTTGTGTAATTATTTTTTAAATAGACAAATCCTAAAAAGATTCAGAGATCTACTCTGTAAATAGTAGAAATGATTTTATTTTACACAAAATAAAAAAATTGTTTGTTCAAAAGACAAAACAGATTTATAAAGATATAAACAACAAAAATGTTCCTTATCTTAAAAAATCAACTGACTTATATATCAATACAATAAGTTCAATAATAAATCAACAGACCAGCATTTAGTTACTGCTAACAAGTTATAACATCAATTTTCTTTTTAATTTATGTCTTATAAATACAGACTTCATTACATTTTGTACAACGATTGTGTCAGAAAATTTAGTTAATTTTAGAAAATGACTTTGTGAGACTACAACCATACCCCCAACTCACACCCCCATCTCCCCCACCCTCTTCCTGAAAATAAAACTTTTGACACAACCCTTAAGCTTCATTTTTTTTATAAAAAACTGACCACTTCTGTGTTTTATCTGGCCAAATTTTATCTTGATAACTTTTTTGACATGTTTTTTGTCATAGCAAATGTGACTTTCACACAACCTAAAACCTTTAAGGGTATAAACTTAAGCTATATCTTAGTATAATCTAATATCATAAAATGATAAAAAAGTTCTTATTATCAATTCTTGAAGGAGTCATTATATAGAATGTCTCCGTTATTTAATACACATTATTATGTGCATAAACAGAATAAAATGTTCCAGAGCAAAATATTATGCTGCAGTTTTAAGCCAAGTTTTAACCATTTAGCAATTATTTGCTGAATGTGCGATTTGTTTTTAAGAAAATATACAAACATATTTCTTTCATACAGGTATTTTGGAAGTTTTTTTTAGCTATTTCCCACATAGTTCAAGCAATAAATTTATAATTATAATGCCATGTATATATATAGCTATTTATTCACTTTAAAAACAAACCCAATGTTCATAATTATTTTGGTCAAAATAAATAAATATATATACCGGTATGTGTATATGACAGTTTGTTATTGTAAATCAAAATATATTCTCAAAATAAAAAAAGCGCAACATTTTGTTCAGATAACAACTCCGTAAATCACTTCATTATTTGGTAGATATCATCGTCACAATATACATCACCGTATAAAAGTACAGTGTAAAAGACATACAAATAAAGAGATAATTCATATTGTTTATTAAAAAAAAAAAAAAAAAAGAGGAGAAAAATAATATAAAATAATAAAATTACAAATTTTGTACATAAATATTTTGTATCTACGCTATTGACTGTATGACCCATATTTTGGCACATGTCACATCACGAACAATCTTCTCGCATATTTTGCAGGGCGTATCTCAACAACATGGCATGAGAAATACTTTGTTTTCTTAGTATTACAAATTATTAACAGATTATAAACAGATATGGTATATCATAAGCCTATTTATAGATGATATTAAATAAATGTAGGTTCAATACTTAACATATTGAAAGTGCAGAATAAAATCATGTCATGCGAGCCTCTGGCAAGCATATACTTTATTCAACAAGATCAACAAATTTAGTTGTGAAGCAATTATACGAATACAATAATTGATTTTCTACATATTCAAAATAGAACAGAATGCAGTAAAAAAACAAGGATATTTTTTCACTAACACGCTGATGCTGTAGTGCTTACATTTGGCATATGTTTAGTTTCGCTATCTTTGTATAATATATATGACATCACATCAAAATATATGCACAGCCATGCCATATTGTAAAAAGTGACACGGGTATGTGATATTTAGTTCTAACAGAATATTTTATACATGACCTCATCAATAGATCTTTAAATAGCAAAGCCATCGCCGAGGCCGAGCAACACATCCAAAAAACAATTTGATTTGCGGAACTTAAAAAGTGTTTCCATTAATGAAAGTATTATGAGCTTTCATAGAACAGAATTTTTATTTCATAGAGGATTTGCCAATAAAAGACTCTGTCCCTTAAGAATAAATGATAGAAAGTATTTAATCAGTCTGAAATACAATTCAAATTTTTCGCGATCGAGCTGAAATAAAAATGAAAATTCTCTTTGAAAAAAAAACAAAAAAAACCCCAACAAAACTAGGTCTATAAGCATAAAAATGAGTTTAATAATATGATGTATTGAAGAAAAAATAATGCAACAATCTTATATCTATAAAGGTATAAAACGAAATTTAACTGGCATAATTTTTTTTTCCTATGGTATAAATCAAATAACTGTTTAAGTAGAAAAAATTAAAAAAAGCTTGGTCTGTGCATAAAGCCTAGGTTAGAAAGAAACAGAAACAACTTATTTCACAATATTTTTCTAACAACTCTTCACTTCTGTCTTATATACACAAGGAATCAAAATTAATTTTCTCAAAATGTTACCATTTTTTTTTTCAAATGAAAATTTTACATTAGAATTTAATTTCCATCTTTCAATTAAAGGAAGTGTGGTGGTTTAGTTAAAGGCATTCACTTTTAAGGAATTGGGATGGTGGGTGGAAGGCTTACAATTTAAGGAATTGGGGTGGTGGGTGGAAGGCTTTCAATTTAAGGAATTGGGGTGGTGGGTGGAAGGCTTTCAATTTAAGGAATTGGGGTGGTGGGTGGAAGGCTTTCAATTTAAGGAAGGTGGGTTGGTTGGGACTGGGTTTGGGCATTTTGTGACTATGATAATTGTTCAGTTAAATTTTACAGAATGATCTGAGGAAACTTGGTCCTGACCTGCAGTACAGCACTAACATACAATCACCCTAGTTTAAACAATATATATTTCAGCTTGATGTATTATGAAAGATTTGGCAGTCATCTGACCAAAACTCCAGGCTCGTTTTTAAGACTAACCAGGAAAGGATTATCCAGTACAGGTGTTGAATAAGGAAAACATGGTCATGCCCCCACCTCCAGTAGGAATTGCACCTTCAATCCCCGGATAGACAAACTGCTGACATATAAGGAAAACCTCTTCCATAGGGACCACCTCTTCCTAACAACAACTTTTGTAAAATTAATGGGCTATATTTATTTTACTAAAACAAGAAATCAGATTTATTTCTTAATATTTCTTAATTTATATGAATCATGAAAGTGATGCCATACAATTAAATTTGTTTTAAGTAATGTATTGAGAATAAGGAAAATAATTATGTAAGTGTGCCATATACAGGTTTTAATTAAAGATCATACATGTGAACTCTCCCACTTTTAGCGGGAGACTCCCACTTTCTGCAGCCATATTTTCAAAGATTGTTCTTAAAATAAGGGATATTTTCAAAATTAAAGAAATCTCCCTCTTTTTGATATCAAAACTTTCTTCTTTGTTTATTGCAAATTCTAAAATCTCCCTCTTTTTAAAGAATAATCTCCCACTTGATCATTGAAAAAAGTTCACATGTATGAAAGATCCAAAATATACATCTTACTTGTTTAAACAAAATCAGCAGAGTTAATGCCCCTTGTGATAAAACTTTACAGACTATCAGTTTTCAACATATTCATTTATATCTCAATCCAAAGAGGATTCATTTACCTTTCTTATGATCTGAAAAGCAATTTGAATGAAATTCTATCCAAAATTCTCTGCAAACAATGAAGGAAAATTCTCAAATTTCATTGTAACACTTTTCCTATTTAATCTTATTTTTTGCACTGCGTTTTATAGCTCACAGAATTTTCATACACCTTCATCTTCTCCTGTAATATTCATTTTATACTCAAAAGACGAAATGATAAAAAAACAACTTTTCTTTTCTTTTCCTCTACTGAATCTGATGATTTGCAAGTTTAATTATTTCCCAAGCTGCTTGTAATGAAGCAATTTTGATTTTCGCACCTGATGATTGATTTGAATGTTTGTTTTTCCTGATTTTTTTGTTCAGGTGTTCACCACTTCAATTTGTCTGTACTTCTTTCGTAAGTTTGAAACTGGGTCTTTAAATAAGATCGGGTCCATTCGCATCTTTGAGCGCAATAAAGGCATATATCCGAATATATTGGCAAATGTATCTATACAAAGTTGTCGTTGAGAGAAATGAAATGAATCGAGCCACTGCGAATTTTTGGAATTATTTGGCAACAATGATTCACGATACTGTTTTCTATGAGTCACTTTGATTGGTGGTAGCTTGGTCACATGACTAACTAGGAAGTTCATTAGAATATCTTCACAGTTTTGAGATTCATCGACAGTGCGAGTGAGTGCCGAGCTGAGACCGTTACTGTACAAGTAATTGTAGTACCTGAAAAATGTAACAATATATTTGTAAAAGTTGCTACACAAATCCTTTGACCTGGGGGTATATCACATTAGCCAGGTCCATAAACGTGTTGGATATTCACCTCATCATATATATAACTATACAATATTAGTTTACTTATAATTGTGATATTGTCATAAAATGAATTTGGTTTTAGTATTTAAGTTCATTTAAAGCAGATCTGACATGTATATCTATTTAATTACAATTTACAGATTATGTGCCGCATTTTGTTTTGGCTCTTGTCTACATATTTTTTCATACAAAACTGTTTTAATAATAGATATGCAAACCCTCAAGGCACCATACGAAGAATGCCAACAAACTCCTGGCATAGAACCATGGACATAAAGCTATGTAAAACCAAGATGTCAAAAGCTCGGGCCATAGACCAAACCAGATGGTAGGCTGTGGTGAAAGTTCTATGCTCCCATTGGATTGAAGGGGATTAAGTAAATACCGGTAAGTAACATCAGTGGATACAATGTGATACATGATGAGTGATACACAAAAAGTGATGTAAGTTACTTCTCACTGCTTGCATCAAAGCATTACCTATGATAAACAGCAGCTCCTGTAAGGACCATGGAGTACTCGTAACTCCAGCGTGAAGTATAACTCCATCTGTTCTTAGCCTCGTCCCAATAATGGGAGCGTGCAGGGTATCCCACAATCCTCTCTGGAAACTCCCGCCATACACTCAATGCAAAATCAATCTATAAATAGATACAGTATCATAAAACAAGACTTAGGAATAGAAACACTATCTAAAATTCAATCTATAAAAATAGAAACAGCATCTTTAGATAGAATCATTATCTTAAAATCTACAAAACAGAAAGTATTAATTTCAATATCCATCAATAAAATAAATATTTTAAATATTAAATAACACTGAGAAATGATAACGAGAAATATAATAATAGTTATACTGTCTGCTAGACTCTTGGCTAGAATGTCCGTTACCATGGAAATAATAATAATATAGTATTGAAATCGGATTCAAGATGGTTGCCAATCATTTTAAATACAAAATTATGAATTGCAGTAATGTAGCCATATTCTCTTCATAAAACAATAGTTATTAGTTCTGTTTAACTGAATAGAGATAAAAGCAGCATTTAGCTGGTATCAGTCATCATACTACATAGATTTGCAGGCTGACTCGATTTTACTGGCAACAGGCAAATCTCTATCCTCACAAGCATTAACAGAATTAACCCTAAACCAGTTGGAACCTGAGTCAGCTTTTGCCATCAATAAAGTGCCAGGGCAGCTTCAACATCCTGGAACTGGAATAATTTTTGCCATCATCAACAAAGTGCCAGGCCAGCCTGCATGATCATCCATGCAGTCTGACCAGGCTCTACACTGTCGGCTGACCAACTTTTTAATTTTTCATCTTGATAATTATCTCCAAAACTGATAATGGACAGCCCCAAAAATGGAAGCTAAGAAATGCATGTAAGAAAATCAGTAGATTAAGAGTTGCACTTAATGACCCCAAAAATTCATACCTCATCTTTTGTGAGAAGTGAGTCCTCATCAAAACTGAACACAGCGTCTGTCTCGATTTCTTGATACGGGTAAAATCTGGAACTAATTGTCTGAAAAAATACGGTGAAAACCACAGATTAGTATTTAAGTATATTTAAAATAAATTAACATCATAAATTATTTCATTGTAAATTTGATTTGGGTTTTAAAAAACACACACATTTTTAATGCGTTTTTCATGATGGAGCATATATATATTCTTGAAAAAATATGTTCCTTGAGGCAAGCAATGAAAACAGAAATTTAAATGTGAACTGTGCAGACTCAATTCACAGATTAAGTCATGTACATGTGAAAAAAAGATATATTAATTCTGTCTAAGTTTCTTTTTATCCCCTATTTACTCGTTGACATGTTCACATCTCTGTAAAAATTGGTGCTGCATTGAGCCCAACATGCAAAGTAACCTCAGTTTAAAGTGCACTGGCATAAAAAACTTGCACTAACTAACACAGACAATTGTGGTCTGTGGTTTGATAACAAATTTTCAAGCCTCTCATGATATGATCATGTTGATCATGATTCTCAAGCATTTAATGACTGTGATTATTTATTTACAAATCCTGATGCACCAAATGCTTCTGACAAAAACACAAACTAATTTTGTCTTGGAATTCTACTCAAGATTTTGTAATAACCATGAATGTACAGACATTCTAAAGAGCATGTTACCGGTATTTGATGATCAAGTAAAAAAAAATATATTTATAGACATTGCACTAAAAGTTTAAAACAATTTAACAACATTCCAAAACCTTTTAGAAATTAAGAAACATCCCAACTATATGCTTGAGGACAAACAACACAGCCAGTGGTCTTTGATTCAGTTGAAAAGCTACTATAATTCTGAAAATACCTGCTTACTTTACTTAATGAACAGTTGAAATAATGATTCAAGGTAGAATGTTTTTCTGCCAATATTTGCTTGCCTCTGCCTTTAAAGCTGCACGCCTCCAGATGTACAAAAATATTTCGTTAAAATCAAACCTAAGAAAAGTGTACTTAGATTTTAGGAAAAGTATAAAAGATTCAAAGTTCTAGTAATAATTTACATGTTATGTGTGATTAATGACCGATTTTTCAGTATTAAAAACTATATTTCTACTGCATTAACGCAGTAAGGGCTATTTTTGCATATTTTGTCTTCTTTTTAGTAATTAACGTAGGTTGTAAGTGTCATTGATAATGTTTAAATTGCTTTTTTTGGTTATTTCAGTAAATAATACTTTTAAACACATTTTCAAAATTTTCATGAAAATTAGCATAAATCTGGAGGCGTGCCGCTTTAATATGTGACTTTTTTATCCACAGACATTTTATAACAACAATAGCCTGTATGTCTGTGTGCATGACTATTCACAGTGCTTGACTGTAAGAAAAGGGGCATAACTTTGTATAAAGGTAACTCAGAGTTATGGGCCCTATGTCCATCCTGTTAGATAATCACAGGTAACAAGTATGTGAAGTTTCAACTTATTCTTTTCAGTAGTTTCGGATCTACAAACTTTAACACAGAAACTAAACCAAAGAGTAACGACAATGTCAACAAGAGTTACAATAATACTTCTCCCTATTCTTTGAATAGTTGAACCAACAGAGTTACACATGAAATTGTTAAAGCTGCACACCTCCAGATGAGCCAAAATATTTCAAGAAAATCAATAATGAGAAAAATGTACTAAAATTTTTAGAAAGGTAAAAACATTCAAGATCCAAGTTATATTTTACTTGTTATGTGTGGTTTAACACTGATTTTGCAGTATTTTATCACCATATTGCTACTGCCTTACTAAAGCAGTAAGGGCTGTTTCTGCATATGTTGACCACTTTTTGGTAATTTTCTTGGATTGCAATAAGTAAATTGCTGTTTTGTTTTACCTCACGATATTTTACTTTTCCAAAATTTGCATGAAAATTAACATGAATCTGGAGGCATGCTGCTTTAACACAATTCAGAACTGCAGAGGTGTGCAATCTGGCCTAATCTTAAAATTTGGCAAAATCAGCACTTTATTACTGCCTCTAGCATAATGTGTTGATTTTAAAAAGATTTACTTCAATAGTTTCTGAAAGTCCTTTTGAAACATTGCAACTTTATCAAAGAAAACAATAAACAAAATTAGTTTAACAAATAACACAACATAAAGCCTTTTATGATTAAACTTTAAAGCAAAACTGATGGTGAATGAATTTCCATAATTGCATCATACTTCAATCTAACACTGTTACACACAATTGCATTTCCTTAATCTTCAAAAGCTTCAAAAACCCTATCTTGTTACTACACACCACACACAGTATCAGTTTTGGCTCAAACTAAAAAAAATATCATAGCCATGAAATTTAATTATTTCGCTTCTATTTGCCACACACATTATTCAATTCCTCATATTTTTTACATTGTAAGGTTTGTACAAATGACAGATGAATGAAAAAGAGCTTAATCTATAATCAAGGAAAAATGGTAAAAGAACTCGATTTGTAATTTTCTCATTTTAATTGGTGGGTTATTGAATCTTTCAAAAACTTTTCAGTTTTGCTAAAAGGTGCAAGGGTGCGAGGACAATAGCTTGCATTTACCACTTCTGTCCATAACTAGGCTAAATCAAACTGAGCATGCAACATTTTTGTAATACTGCTGTTTTGAGTGTTCTTTATGCTTTTTTTGTTTATTTTTTTTCCCCTATTTATAAATTTTGAATGCAACCTTACTGGATTGCATATAAATAATCAGAATCAAACCTTTTCTTAGATTCTGAATTGAACATTTCCATGTAAAGTTATAGAAATTGAACTTTTAGAATTTAACTTTTCTAAGAAAGTTGAACAATACGTAATGTGTTTTAAACATGAAAATTTTAAATTACAAGTTTTCTGAACTGATTTACACATCAAAAAGTTTAAACCATACCAGAATTGAACCTTACCTTTATATTTCTGGTTTTAACCAGAACTGGTACACCTAAATCAGCTGGCCATCTATGGGAAGGGGGCGGAGCTACATCACAGTGCCATATCACGATCATCTGAAAAACACACAAATGATTGATCATTTCATTTTCTTCCTTCACTTTAACCTTTATCCTGCTAAAACCCAAACTGTTAAGCCTTTGCCACAAATATAGAGCCTTCACTTCTGTACAGTCTGGCCTGGCTCTATACTATTAGTTTATAAATTATACTAATTTATTTAAGTTGTTTGTGTTGAAAGCTAAAAGTTTCTTGAAATACTTTTGAATCTGTTCCTGGAACAAATGAGTGTAAAGTTTCTTCTTGCTCACAGAAACAACTGCTTGCTCCTGACAGGGTTTGAACTCACATGACCAGCAATCCTTAGATTAATAGTCTGGCACATTAACCACTCGGCCATGCTGCCACCCTCTATACTCTGGCCTGACATAAGTTAAAATTTTCATCTTGATATCCTCACTATTACCAACATTCTGACATCATACATAAAGACTGGTATACATGCAAACCGTTTTATTCCACTTAATTTCATATACATGTGTATATACAGCAATTCATTGAGCAATCAAAACATCCTTCTGCTGTAAGAATTTCACTTTATTACCACTGGAATTTTCATTGCTTTCATGGGAGACTGGTGATTTTAGATCTTTGGTGCTATTTTTCAGCGATTGAGTTAATTTACTGTCTTTTGATTCAATAAATGTTAGCAATTAATGTAACTCGTTTCATCTTCCAGGGAAAGATTTATCATAAAATCTTAATCCTGTACAGCTAAAATTAAATCAGCTTTTACATGAGAGTTCTATTTACTCCCATTAACCATTTAACTATCTAGAAAATATAAGGAATGGCCTACTAGATGGTAGCACATTCAAAATATCTCACTGTACATTTTGATAGCATTATAAACAAATGCATGTTAAAGAATACACATATACTGTAATTCATATTCATTTTCTGCACATAACTACTTTATTTCTGATATTTAGAAAAATCTATTTTTGTTATTTAACCATTTAAGGCACATTTTGTCTCAGAAACAAATATTTGTTTGAGTTTTATGTTTAAACAATGACTTAGAGCCTGTTACATAGTTATTACTTGCAGTGCTACATGTGAAATTATTTATCATAAAAGAAATAAAATATAAAAGTAGTATTCTGACTTCCATACAAAATACTAAATCACTGTAACTTTACTAATTGCCAAAAAGCAACAGAAGCGACAATAATCCTGCCAAATGGCTAATGAGTTACTTTTTGAAATCTGCAATGGGACACCAAAAATATGAGAAATATATGAGAAATATATAAATAAAAGCATTTCTTGTGCATAATGGGTCTTTAACCTGCCGAGACTGAAAGTGATCAATTCCTTTGCCGCAAGAATAGAGCCCAGCCAACCTGCACATCTGTGAAGTCTTACCAGGGTGACTATACTGTTGCATGGCTAAATTTTCACCTTTATACATGTCTTCGGAAATTGACAATGGACAAGGTAATGACTCAAAAGTATATAGTGCAGACCATGATCAGAATTGCATGGTTGTGCCGGGTGAACTTGGTCATCGGTAAGCTTTTGGGTAGATTCTGTCACTGCCAGTTACAGATATAATTATGTTAAAATAAAGCTGATCATGGCACCTTACTGACAATTTAGAAAATTAAATTGGCAAATTAATAATCGTTCAGTTTGTTTTATGGCATCTTATATATACTGTATATATATTTACTTTTTGCTTATCCTCTTACATGTAAAACAAAACTTGCAAAAGAATAATTACCCTTGATGCCAAGTTTTGATTAAATATTCATGCATCAAATGATTTGGCCCTATAATGTTATTATAATCCATTGGGAATTATGTAATTTCGTAAGACTCATCTGAACGGCAGAATATAGTTGATGAATTTCTGATATTTGCAAGACAAAGTCTTAATTAATATTCAACAGGAGGCTAATGGTTTCTAAACAACACTTGTAAAAAATTTATCATAATATAATATTTATGATGTTTCCTGGAAAACAAGTCGTCACAATGATCTTTGAAAATAAAACCAACCAACGCCAAATAAAGGTTACAACAACATCTGCTAATTGGCACTTATGGAGTACAATATGCATTTTGATATGGATGTTTGGGACTCAGAGAAATCAAAACGAGGCTAAATTTGTAAGATTGGATTCAAAAATGATTTATATCTGAGCATCTTGTGGTTCAAACACTGAAAGTTCATTGGTTTTATCTTATAAGGTCTGAAATTTCATGTTGTTTTAGTGATAATTAAAACAAGCCTGCTAATTAACAGTGATAACACATATAATTATATCACATACTGAAATGGACTATAATTAAATTCCCACTGTACAATTTCATATATTAATTCAATATATTGATATATCGTTAATATTTTGCTATACAAATATATCAATACATAATTTTCCATCAATGATTATCCCTCAACCCTCAATATTTATAACTTAATTAAAGTCTGTATTTTATTTTAAAACTAGAAATGTGTCCATAGGACACGGATGCCCCCACACGCCACTGTTCTGTCAATCTTATGACTCTAGGTCAAATATATTTTTTGGACTACATGTGCCACAAGTTGAAAACTAAAACTCAACAAAGGGCCATAATTCTGTTAAATTTGGTCGCAGCAAAAATTCCTTCCTTTACTACCATCTACACATTAAGGTTGTTTATCTCTGGAAGTTTAAGCAAAATCTGCCATCCGGTTTAAGATGAGTTGCATTCACAAAATTTCTATAGTATATAGTGAAAAAATCAACAAAGGGCCATAATTCTATTAAATTTGGTCGCAGCAAAAAATCCTTCCTTTACTACCATCTACACATTAAGGTTGTTCATCCCTGGAAGTTTAAGCAAAATCTGCCATCCGGTTTAAGAGGAGTTGCGTTCACAAAATTTCTACATAGTATATAATGAAAAAAATCAACAAAGGGCCATAATTCTGTTAAATTTGGTTGCAGCAAAAATTCCTTCCTTTACTACAATCAACACATAAAGGTTGTTCATCCCTGGAAGTTTAAGCAAAATCTGCCATCCGGTTTAAGAGGAGTTGTGTTCACAAAATTTCTACATAGTATATAGTGTAAAAATCAACAAAGGGCCATAATTCTGTTAAATTTGGTGGCAGCAAAAATTCCTTCCTTTACTACCATCTACACAGTAAGGTTGATCATCCCTGGAAGTTTAAGCAAAATCTGCCATCCGGTTTAAGAGGAGTTGCGTTCACAAAATTTCTATATAGTATATAGTGAAAAAATCAACAAAGGGCCATAATTCTGTTAAATTTGGTCGCAGCAAAAATTCCTTCCTTTACTACCATCTACACATTAAGGTTGTTCATCCCTGGAAGTTTAAGCAAAATCTGCCATCCGGTTTAAGAGGAGTTGCGTTCACAAGATTTTGGGACATATGGACGGACGGACAGACGGACGGACAAGTGCAACGCTATATGCTCCCACTATGTGGGGGCATAAAAACAAATGTTTCTATATCATAATTTGGATATTATCAGAAAAGTTTGGCAGGATATCAATTTAACCAGCATAGTGTTACAAAACACAAACACAAAGGTGGCACCTTTTGGCTTCCATAGTATATACAAATAGGAATAAGTAAAATTTCCAGAATTTTGACATTGTAGAGTTGAAGGTCACATAGCTTTTGTCATTGCCAAACAAGACATTGATTCAATTTACATATGTCTTTCATAATCCCTTTGAAATCATGTTAAAGGCCAATTTAAAACTATCAATTTCTATTTTGGAGATAATAATTATAGGAAAGAAATTCACAAAACAAAGTGTTGCAATTATCTTGCCAATGTAGTGCAACAAAGATTTGAAGTTATAAGCAAATGAAATCAACTCTAATTACTTCAATTAGAAATGCATTTTTATTTTTAGGAAAGTGGTTTAAATTGGTTTGCCATGATTAAATGAAATCAATTGAACTTTTTTACACATTAAAAGCTGCATTTTCAAAATTCAAGTCTCTTGATCACAGAAGAGTTAACAATACAGTTGAACTTTTTCATTTCGTACAACACTTTATTTACTTAAATGTATTGTTCTTACTGTTCTAATCTTAAGTTTTTCTCTAACTCAAATCAAAGAAAAAGATTTTCTTTTGTGTTATTCCTGTGAATTAGCCCTTTTGTAATTTATATCATCATTTACTTATTATAATTTTTTTTTATAACATAGAGAAAAGATGATGACATTTTTGCTGTCAGTACCCAGCACTTTATCAGTAAAGTCATCCGCAGCCAAAGACCATTATCACAGGGGTGGAACCCCATATGTATCTCCAAAATGAGCATCGGTAAAATTTATATGTGCATTTCCGCTGCACCAGATGTGAAGCATAACATCAGATGTGACTGTAAAAATAGGTCAATTGCAGGGTAATTTTCATCTTTTTAAACATTTATATAAAATTCAATCCTTTTTTTAAGAAAATCGAAATGTGATTCTACCCTCCTGACTCTCCTCTATATTACCCATTTTTATTTTGGATTTCTATGCAGTCTTCATCGAGATATTCTTTGTGTCGTGGGTTCTGGTGTGTCCAAAACATGTAAAGAAAATGTCACTAAACGGGTTAAAAAACAGATTTTACAAAATCTCACTACAGATGGATGCTGTACATTCAGATAAATCCTGATTTAAAGATTTATTGAGATTTGGCTACGATTTGGCAGATGATGATTAGGCGGCAAAGATTTAGGGGGTGGAGGAGGGAGCCGAATTTCAGCTCAAAATTCACTGAATTAAGAATTAAGGCCTCCTGTTTGATTGCACATATAAAATCTCCTATGAGCTTTTGTCTCCATGGTTTATATTCTGTGGCAATAGCATTGATTTATGTTACAAAAGCAAACCTCTCCAATGGTCTAAATCAACTTTCTTATAAGACAATTTCCTTCCTGTGTAAGCTATGACCTAACAGTAATAGACAATTTCATGCAATAATACTCTCAGATTATTCATTCAATTTTTTTGATAAGATAATC